GACTGGAATCGAAGCTGGACACGGGTATATAGAGTTGGCCATGGTCTTGCGGTCTTGTGGCGCAGGCAGTTGTCGTGAGACAAGTTTATTTGGCTCAGTGCCGTGTTGACGTTTAATAAATTTACGAATTGTGGCCGTGCGCGGCATGTGGCCAAGACGCAATGCGATTGCCATTGCCAATGCCAATAGCCAGAGCATTGGCAGTTAGACAAAGTACGTGCACTTTAAGCAGCTGCTGTTGCTGCCGCTTGCTGTTGCTGCTGCTGCAAGCTCCTGCTGCGGTTGCAGCTAACCGATAAGCTCTGCCAACTGGCAACGGGCTGCCGTGCGGCATCATCAATCTTGCGGCCTTACGAATCGCCAGTTGCCGGCGATTTTAATGTGCCATATCAATCGTAGCATTAAGCCATGCCTGTCGATGACGTGGCTCGGCACAAAGAAGGCAACAAAACTCTTAATTTCTTTTAAATACAAAATAGAATCAAAGTGGATGAAGCTGCGCACTCAAAGTCTGCGCTGGAGTTTTGAGTGCACTTTGTAAATGCAGGCAAACATTTTCTGCAGTAATTAAAATCTTTGACTGCAAAAGGCGTCATCCTTGTCGACGTCTTCCGTTTGTGACTTTGTTTCGCTCTTCGAGTGCTGCCCAATGCAACAGAAGAAGCAACAGCAACAGCAACAGCAGCAGCAGCAGCAACCGAAGCAGGCAACAATCAAAAGATAAACTGCCGCCAGTCGTCGCAGGTTGCAAGTCGCTGCAGCAGCATTCATTGAAGTCCATTTAGACTGCAATTAAAAAACTCACAACTTATGCAGTAGGGGGAGGGGCAGGGTGGGGGCTTGGTGGTGGCGGCGGGCTGACGCTCGCAGATAAGGGCAAATGCAGAGCCAGTAGCCGTGGCCAAGACACTGGCTAAAGGCTTCAAGTTCACTTAACTTTGGCATAAATGTGAAGCTTCCAGCGAAGGAATGTGCGGCTGCTATCTAGACTACAAGCATACATATATATACACACACACACAGACATATATACATATAAAAAGTGTGTGTGTGTGTGTGTATTGGGTATACCACCTTGACAACCTGTTCTTTCAACTGGCCAAGACTCCAACTTCAACTGACAGCAGACAAAAAGTGAATTAAGTGAATAAGAAGAACATGTTTGTGAAAATTGTGCGAATGCTTCAAATAATTAAGTAGGTGGACGCGAGACGTGGTTAATGCTGCCCCAAAGCAGAAAAGCAAAACTGCAAAACAGCAAAAAAAAAAAAAAAAAAAAAAAAGAGAAGAAAAATTGGTAAAATGAGTTAAAAGGGCAAACTCTAAATGTCTGCGCATAGCAATCTACCAAAGCTCTCTGGGGTTAACCATATGTAATCTCAATGGCTAATGAGTAGCGCATAGGAGAGCGCGCATAGCGCAAATGCTAGAGTATTATGGGTGGAGGACTTGCATAAGCTTGGAATTTTAATGAGTTCCTGTGGGGGCAATGCGTGAGAAGTGCATAGAAAGGCGGCGTGATCAGTAAGGGAATAGAAGAGATTTTTTGAAAATGTGGCAGCACTATGTGATCTTATATATATTGACTGCTGTATGTGAAGAATATAACAAAGAGAGAAGGAAGTACTCTGACTGTTGAATATATACTGATGAGTATCGGTATATACATAAAATATATTTTTTAAAATGTGGCAACACTATGGAATCTTAGCCTTAGCTTCTCTGTGACAATATTGCAAAAATATTGCAATGAGAGAAAGAAGTGTTTTGACAGTTCAAATTTGGCATGTGAGAAGCGCATAGAAAGCTGCGATCAGTTAGTAAAAAGCGGCATTTTTCGAAAATATGGCAACACTATTGAGTCTTGACTTGTGTATGAGTAGCTGCTACGACAGCTGTGAATTCTTCAGAAGCTGCTGAATATACTTATGCAAATGAATTATCTCAGATATGGCAACGTAGTCGCCGTTGGTTTGCGTTTTGCGCTCGATCGATCAATGACTGAGATCTGCAATCTCGACGCGTCTCGCCCTGCACTCACTCACAACACTCACAAACACTCAACACTCGTTGTCAGCACTCGTCGAAGACAAATGGTCAACGCTTCTGCTGTTGACAGCAGCCGCAGCATCCTGGCAGCAACAGTATCCACGTCCAGCTGCAGCTCCGTTCGCTGTGCCAAACTTAAATGCCAATAAAGCAAACGAAGAGTATTTTTATTTAACAGCTTTTGATTTTGGACGCCCTCAAAAAGTTTTTGGCCTCATAAGGTCGTTTGTCGCACATGTTTACTTGCACTTGCAGCGCCATAAATTAGATTGAAAACGAAGCTGTAACGCCTGCCAAAAGGGCCGCATTCCGGGGGGGAAGCGACTGAAATCGACAACAAATCAATTTTTGTGCCATTGCAGCAGAAAATGCTGCCACCCAGCAAAGTTTTGCCTTTTTTCCCTTTTTGCTTGCATAGTTTTCAATTTGGCCCATCAATGGGACTGTGTGGGAGCCGAATCGCACAGCTGGAGATGGAGCCGGGAGCCAGGAGCTGGAGTTGGAGCTGGAACTGGCTGCTTAGATGGCCAGTAAAAATGCCATTTCCGCTTGTTGCCGTAAAACTTTTATTTTTTTTTTTTTTTGCATGGCCAAAAGTATTTCGCTCGTAAAATTGCGACTGACACATGCGAACAAACTGTTGACTACTGTGCGACCCACGTTCTGGCTGTTGTTGTTGTTGTTGCTGTTGTTGTATAACAGAAATCTGGCGAATCGTTATTACTGTTTAATAGAACATGGCTTTTATGACAAGCGGGCACAGTTGGCCATTTTCATGTTGTCCATTTCACACATTCATCTGTGCGGCGCACAGTGTGGCAAAAGTGTTGGTCATAAAACTTGGCAAAATGCTAAGTAATTTCAATTTCAGATTTCAATAGCAACCCCTCTATAAAAGGCAACCCTCGGCTCCAACAGAAAAGTAATGAAATAAATATAAGGAGCTGCCAACTCGAATCAGGAGCGGTAAATGCAGCTTCAAGTGCCTTTTGGGAACGCACCTTGAACGTCGTTGTTGTTGTTGTGGTTGTTGTTGTTGTTGTTGTCATCATTGGCAACATCATCAGGCATTCATTGGCCTTTGCTCGCATCTCCATCTCCCGTCCACAATTGTTCAGCCTTGCGTAACGCATGCACATTTATAGGAATTGCGCATAACTTTAAGCAAAGCTGTCGAGGCACACGACCCAACTCTGTGGCTCTCTCCTGCCCCTGCTTGGCGTGGCCAGTCAACGCGAAACTGCGCTAGCCACAAGGCAACTCACTCACTCCCCCCATCTCACACTCCCAGGACACTTGGCCACTTCACCACCCTCAGCCGCATCGTCAGCACTGCCGCACAAGTCGTCGTCCGCATCGCATTTCTCTCTCATAGAGTCCAAATCTCAAGGGTGGCATAAATGTTGTCCTTCAACTTGGCCTCGTCCTTTGCTTTCCTTTTCTGCGGCTGTTGCCGCTGCCGCTGCCGCTGCCGCTGCTGCTGCTGCTGCTCGTGCTAGTTGGCTGATAGCTTAAGTGGCTGCATTATTGTCGGGGCTTAACTAACACTAAAACTGATTGATTTTAATTTTCATGCATTTACATTCATTACGTTTTATTGGCCCAAATGATTCACGCTGACTTGCAAACGATATTAATTGAAATTTTAATTAGTTTGGGAGTATTATGCGTGTCTTTAATTAATTACTGACAAATAAACCAAATTATAATTAGAAATTACAAGTTGACAAATTAGATTGAGTTCCACGCTGATATATGGGTTATATATATATTTTATATATTTTATATATATTTTATTAAAATACGTTTTCCTGATCCACATTTAATATATATTACTTTCCCATTAAAGTTTTTTAGTTAACCTGATTTTTCATCCACATTTGAAAAAACATATTTTCATATTCAATGAGCTCTAAAATGTAATAATTAAATATTGCCTGAGATCAAAATCGTTTTTGAATTTATTCTTAAATAAGCTGAATAAGTGTTTCAATATTATTGCTTCTATATTTTTATTTATTTTAAAATACAAAATTTATTAAATAAAATATCGGGAACCGGAAAATTTGTTCAATTATCTTTGATGAATAAATAATTAATTAATTATATATATATATATATATATATATATATATATATATATATATATATATATATATATATATATATATATATATATATATATATTTTTTTTTTTTTTTTTATAATATATTTATTAAAGCCATACATTTAAAATATTTAAAAAAATAATAATAAAATTGAAATATATAATTTTAGATTATATATTTTGTATTATATTAAAATTAAAGCGACATTAAAATTTAAAAGAAAATGAAAAAAAAAAAAAAAAAAAAAAAACAGACAAACAAATAATAATAATAAAGGACAATATAATTTGATAATTAAACATATACAAAATTATTAAAAGTTTTTCTCTTGAAGAATATTTTAACAATATATTTATATATGATAAGCAATACAAAAGCTTATCCTTCTGTCTTCATAAGACAATATAAATTGATTTAATAGTCTATTTTGTTTAACTGGAAAAAGGTATTTTAATTTAATTTAATTTTTTTTTAATTTAATTTAATTACATTTTTTTTTTTAATTGTTTATATTTCTTATTGCTTGTACTTAATTGATAAAATTACCAAAAATTTGTCACACTCAACACGCAGAATAAAAACGAAAGAGAACTTTAGAATCCGTTGCTCTCTTAGCTCAGGCAAGCGAAGAGTAAGCTTCGCATTGCGCCTGTGCGTATGCAACGCGGTTTGAAGCCGGTTGCAAGGCAAACCAAAACAATGGCATCAAACACCCACGCTAAGGCATACACACACACGCACACACGCACGCACACAGACAGATTGGTTCGGTGCGGCAGACTTGACGTCTCCGGGCATGTTGCCACTGGCAGACAGCGTGTCCTTGTTTCTGGCTTTTGGCCATGGCAAATCAGTTGCGGTTTGGTAACGCGGCACAACACAACGTGCAAGCGGATTCGCAAGACTTTTGACACTTTGTACTGAATTCACTCGAATCGCGTGCGATTTTTCCATGTTTTGGACACAAACAAATAAACAAAAGCAAGAGAAAAATATACAGAAAAAAAATATCAAATTTGTTTGCACTTTGCAACTGGACGCGACTGAATTTCCACTTCGCTGCATTTTGAATTGGCATTCGAGCTAAACAAAAATTATTTCGAGTTCAGCGCATCGCCGGGTTAAAGCTAAAACGCCCGGATTTGAACTGTTGCCTCGCATATCATTACGCGTGCTGATTTCTGAAGTGTGTGTGAGTGCGTGCGAGTCGCTGTCGGAGTGTGTGTGTGTGAGTGTGTGTGCATTTATGCATAATTGAATAACGAAGGTGAAAATTGAAATGTTAACAAATTGAATTTACACTCTCCAACCGAAAACCAAATTGGGATTGTGAAAGAAACTTCGCATTCAAGTAAATTGCTTAACGAGCCAAGTCGCAGCCAAGAGCCGTAGAGACAACTACGTGCTGCCAGTTAATTTTCTAATTGGATTAGAAGTCATCAACCCGTCAGCGAGGTAAGGCTCATGAACTTCAACAATCAATTGGACGGCCTTTCACCAAGCTAACTGACTGACTGACAGACAGACACAGTCAAGTGGACAAAAGCATGTTCAAGGTTGAACGGCAGCTAATTGCAAAGGGGGCGGCAGCTGCGTTTGCTTTAATGAGTTGGCCAGGTGTCGTGTGATATGAATGCCTAATTTACAGTTGAAGCTCCGATTACAAAAGGCCAACTCCAGTCAATTGGCACTTTGTCAAGTTCGGTTTCCGGTAATGATTCAGCGAGCCATTCAACAGAATTTGGTGATTGTTTTAGAAAGAATATGAAACAGAAAAGTTTATTAAAATGAACGTTATTTAATACCCTCTTTTGTTTTATGATATGTTTTATTTTAGTTTTACGTTCGATTGAACTTAAGAAAGTTTTTTTTTTTTTTTTTTCTTATACTTAACAATAAGCAAATCTTTAAATAATAACTATTAATAACCAGATGGTTTGAACTCCAACGAGATCAATCTATATATTTACATATTTACATATTAATAACTAAGTCTACTCTCAATTTGGCAAATCTAGTACGTGGAATCTTTTTAACAAGTTTTTCTTCAAATAATTTTCAAAATTACCTTTTATATTTGGACTTTTATATGAAACAGGTTATTAGAGTTAGAGAGATATAATAGATTATAGCAGATATTTATTAAATTCTCAGCGCTTCTAACAAGTGAGGTAAATTGCTTGAGGACTAGCTATTAATAATTGTTGTATTATAAATAAAAAAATAAAAATAAAAAAAAATAATATAAAAAATAAGGACCTTTATAAAATTTCATGCTAAAGCTAAGCTTGCTGTGTGAAAAAAATGTTTTTGTTTAGAAAAGAAGGTTTCCAATCTTATTTATTATTTTTGTTTTAAATTCTTGGATTTAGGTCATTTATTGTTCTTTTAGCAATCAATATTAATAATAAGCTCCATATATGTATTTCTAAATATGTATAATTCTATCTATTCGTTGAATATAATATTGAAGATATTCTTGTTAAATTTCTAAAAAATTCCGTCAGCCTTAGAAGCAATTGAAAACAAACTGCAGGAAAACAGAACTGCTAGTTACCTTCATTGTTAAAATGCATGTTAAAATGTATAACGTGTTTGTTGATTTTTCGCGTTTGAATTAAATTTTCAATAAACGTCTCAAGCTTTCATTTCGCTGCTTTAACATGCTTGCATAAAAATAATAAAATTAATGACAAGTTTCACAAGCGCAATTTTCCGACTGAAATGAAACATGCATAGCATTAATGGTACTTCCTATACTCACATGCTTATCTATATAGTCGAATCCCTTTAGAGTTGTCACACGCAATTCATGCAGAACTAGAATGAAAGCATTAATTCCCAGTTAAACATTAACACTTGCTGGAACTATAGTCAGGGCCATTAAAACGACAATGTTTACTGTCATTTATATTAATTTACTCACACTGCTTGCAACGGGCACGCCCACACGCCCATACGACGCCCCTCTAACAGGGAAAAATAGATAAGGAGACGAGCGCATTATGCAAATTGCAATGGCAAACGGCGACGAGCCCCCGAAGCAAACACCTCATAATGAATACTAATTCGTTCATTAACGAACTCTGACACATTATTTCACACTTTCAGTTGGCATTTTTGGGTTTAAAGCCCGAAAGTCTTCATGTGTGGAATTTTTTGCTATTTTGTGACGTATGAATTATTAAAATTAATTAAATGAATATTTTCTCATATTTTTTTCTCGGGCAAAGTGTAAATGAAGTTGAATGCGGCTAATCAGGTGCCAGCAGGAGTTAACCAGAGTTTACGAGTATGTGCGAGGCATGAGATAATTAAGAATTTAATTATTTACACACACCCAGCACACACACGCACACTCACACTCGCACAAGCACAACAAACAGGCAGAGACATTTATTAGCCTAGACATAGGACACACTTGCTTAGAGGGTCTTTAGAACTGATTTGATGGGAGCTCTGTGCTGGTAAGTTGGGGGCGAGACACAGGCACAGACAGAGAGAGAGAGAGAGAGAGAGAGAGAGAGAGAAAGCTTCTTATGTCATGCAATATTCATAATTCCTCATGCTCATAAAAGCCCAATGCTATAAGCGGGCGGCTGTGGTGTGTGGGCGTGACTGGCGTTGCAGTTTTGCGAGTCGAATGTTGACGTTGGGTGTTCACTTTATTTGTTTGCTGTCAACGTTGCTTAATTGAGGGTGTTGCTCGCCAGTGTTTGACTGTTTATTGAACCGGGCAGGAGTCTGGACGGAGGATGCTCTGACAGAGTCTGTCCAACTCAGTCCATCTGCCACAACAACAATCACATGCAACAGCATTTAATTATACACACATCGAGCGTGTGGCAAGGTTTTGCTGCGCTTGACATTTTAGTGAATGCTGCTTTGCACTTTCACTTATGGCAGCAACAACAACAAATGATTTAACTGCCTGTCAACAAGTTGATGACAAATGGGGAAAAATGATTCATAGCTCAGCTGTGGATCATGGTCTTTTTCTCTTTGGATGTTTAATACGAGTATAAAAAAAATTTTGTTTGGGTCAATTATTTTTTTAAATTTTATATTAAATATTTTCTAAAATAAAAACTTGCTTGGGTGTAAAATTAAATACAATATATTAAAGGTAGCCTCACAACTGAAAACTGAAGGAATAATATTCACATATATACACTTTATAAGTTGGAAGATATTTCTTGAATATGATTTGCAGATTAAAATATTAATTTTTGCAAGATACGATTTCCTTCACATGAAACAGATTGTTAATACATATATGGGAAATTATCATAATGATGAGAAAGCATTATAGTAATTATATTCGACTGTACTTATTATTTAAAAACAAATATCCTTTATTTGTTTTATGTCAAATTTTTTATTCGGAAACCACAATATTGACATTGATAATGACACTCAGTTTGTTTAGCACATACCAATAAGTTGTGATCTCGTATTCGCCAGAGCTGAGAGGCACTGGCAAGTTAATTTGATGAGCAATACGTAAATGGTCCACAATTAGATCATGCTGTCCATTAAAAAATAAAAGTTGAAAAAAATAGTTATCTATATGGTTATAACTACTTAGACTCTTACATCATAGGGACACGTGTGATTTATATTCGAGTAGATCTGCAGATGAAAGAAACTATAAACGGCATTGGCAATGGGATTCCGTTTGGTGCTTCGGAAAAATCGGCATACATCAATGTCGAAGGTGGCAGAGGTGGACCTGAAGCGGCGCTTGATGTCTAAATGCATCTGCAGTTTCATATATATATATGTATATATAGATATAATATATGTATAGATATAATATGAGTTAAGTGAAATACATATATGTATATGTTGATATAGCCAACTGAAGGGTTTACCAACCGTGACGTTTGATACTGGCTTCTGCAGCAGCGTCATATAAAAGTGCAATTCCTTAATTTCACGATTGTACACTTTAATGATGCACTGTTTAATGATGCCAAGTTTTGGATTCAAGTTTTGGCATTGAATTCCTTTTAGCTTTATTCTGATCATCAAAGTAGGCGTGGCAAGCACACACAATGCAAAACAAACAAGTCGAGTCTGACAACCGAAGCTCATCGCTGTGCTGGTTTAACTGATCAGCCATTGCGTACAAATATCCCCGCAATTTCAATGTTTACAAATTATATGTTTGGTCAAGCGATGAATTGTATGTTGTTAGTACATATAAATAATACTGGCATTATCTGGAGTTATCTGGTATTATCTGTCATCGTGTAATAAATAAATCACTTAGCTACAGCATGAGCCTGGACAAGGACTCAACAAATTAGAACAAACTAGGGCATGATATAAGTACATTTCCAGTTAGTAAAAGGAAATCTGAGATTATTCTGCTAGATAAATAATATTAGGATTTTATGGAAATGAAACAGTTCTATTGCTTTTATAATTTTTATTATTAATTCATTTATTAACTACTCTAAGAACCTCTTACGTTTTGTCTCTCGAGCCTTTCTCCTCCATGTCATGATGTTATATTTAGAAAATTCACATCGAAAATTCAATTAGAACAGTTTGTCAAAGATTTTTGGTTGTTATCGTGAAAACGAGAAAGAGTATACCGAGAGCGGACATAAATATTGCTCATATTTAATACGAATATTTAAAAATATATTCACAAAAATTTTATAGAAATATTATTAGTGGTCAGTCAACCAGATAATTCAAAATTGGCTCAATTTTTTTGTGCTTTATTAATTTTTGTTACATTTGTTTAATATACATATATCATCGTGGTAATTAGAATTTAATTTATCAAGAAACAATATATTTTTTATATTCAAGCCAGAAACAGTTATAGTTAGAAAGATATCGATATATAAGTATATATATGATCCATTTTCGTAATCCATTATAGTCATGCAATATCTTAAGCTGTGATCTCAAAGTTCAATTGGATGGTAATGCGCAGGACATTATATGTATACCAATAGCTCATTAGTTTATAATTGCCCAAGGACATGCGTACTGGAAAATTGAAATTCTTATCGAAGCGTAAATGATCGATGATTAATTCGCCCTGCAATATTGAAATATGAAAATGGCAAGAAACTTATGTTAATTTAAATTTACGCACAGTGAACGGACACGAATGATTCAAGTTGGTGTAAACGTCAAATTTGAGAAATTTATAGAAAGCGTTCGCGAGGATATTACGATTGCTGGCACTCATGAATCGGCACGCATCCACGGTGAATGAATATAAAACGGGCTTGTCATAGCCGCGATGCTTCAACTCCAGACGAACCTATAAAGTACACAGCTTGTCTATAGTCCTCGCCTATATGATATATATAGTATTTATAGTCATCTACCGTAGCATTGGTTACTGGCTCCTTTGGTAGTTTGATAACCACATAAACATCTTTAACACCACGCCCAACCGGCTTTAGAATACAGCTTCTGATGTGAATGTTTTCGGGATCGAACGAATGGCATTCTATTGACTTGACTCGAGTATGTTCACTCCAAGTGGGCGTGGCCAATGTAACTATAATGAGCCAGTAATATATGGACATAGTTGCTAGGCTTAAACTGAACGATTTGACGACGCGTTTTCAACTAATGAGTGATAAGTGAAGCAAGTCAATAACAAGCGCTTACTCATTTGTAATTATTTCTATATTAGGGCTGCTCAAATTGAAACCTATCAAAGACATTGCAAAATTGGATAATAATTGAAAAATAATTACATAATCAGCTACATAAATAGAAAAAAAATTTTATTTTTATTTTTTTGTCGGCGATTATTATTTTCTATGTTATTTTCTTTTTTTTATTAAATAATTATGTTTCCCAATAAGCAGTTGAGCAGCTTTATTGAAGTTCGAGCTCAATAAAAATTCAATTCAGAAAGTACTAGCCAAAAGGCCTACAAAAGTTATTGCTCGACTCCAGCAGCCTTTTAATAGTTGCAAATGTAGGCTAAAGATCAGCTAGTCTACGAAAATGTATATGCTATTCTTTTTGTTACTATGTAACTGTGTACGTTTCTATTTATAGCCGTCTTTTTATTTTATGTGGTCATAACTTGTTGTCAAAATAAAATAACAAAAAATTGTGTTCAACTGTCGCTGACAGACTTTGCTAACATTATTGTTGTTGCCGGCGTCAAAGTCAAAATTAAAAACGCAATGACAAAAAACAAACTGATGCTGCGCCCACCTTTGCTACCGAACTGAAGATTGGCGCGTGAAAAAACGCGCAACGCATCAGCAGAGGGACGCAGCAGCAACACACAGCAGCAACAACAACAACAGCAGCAAGAACAATGCTGCCATAAATAACAAAGGCAAATGTTGCTAGCGACACACTGACTACAAAAAAAAAAAAAAAAGCAAAAAAGGGGCGGCTGCTGAGCAGGGGTAAAGGTGTGACTGAGGACGGAGGCGGGACGCAAGGCAAGATTTGTGCCTGCTTGTGGCACTGTCACTGGGGCTGTGCTGAATGTGCCGTTAGAAGCGCAGCAACATGACAAGCAAACACAACAGCAACAGCAACAGCTAAACAACGAGGGGGGTGGGGGGCTGACACAGGGTGAGAGGAGCGACAAGAAAATATTTACAATCAAGTCGATTAACAAAAGGAAACCTTGTGACGCGCACTTTGGAGTTCTCTCTGTGTATTACTGTTTTTTTTGCGCTTCTGCTTGTTGTTGTTGCTGCTGTTGTTGCTTTTTTAATTAAAAATCAGTGAGCACACGCCCACGCCCCCTGACTGTCATCGGCGCCATTTTGCAAATCAACGCAATGATTGCGCCGCCTTGTTTTGTCATCGCATTTCATGCAACGAAATATTTTTCATAAATATAACGGGACTTTGGCAGGCAGCACTTGAGACTTTCGCCACATTTCCCCCAGCAACAACAACAACAACAGCAACAAAGAATACACAGCAACCCGCCGCAGCAACAGCAGCAGGAGACATCATCATTAGGGCCGCCCACGCAGGAAACTCGAATGAAAAAAAAAAAAAAAAAAAAGAAAATAGCTGAGAGACACAGAAGCTGGCTCTTTGAGCTGGTTGCAATTGTTACGGCTCCCCGTTGTTATTGCCACAGCTCCAACTCCAACTCCAACTTCAACTCGAGCTCCCAGCTCTGAGCTCTCGGCATCAGCTCCATCTCCATCTCCATCTCCATAGTTAACGCTCAGTGCTTATTGTCTTAAGAGGAAGTCGCTGTTCTATAGGAGGCGTGACTGGGGGATTGGTTGAGGGGGGCCGTGCTTGGCTACGCATATGGCACATTGGTGGCATGGCTGGCGTGCGGATATAACGGTAGACTCATTGAAAATGAATAACTGTGCATGACGCACCATGGCGTCAACTGCAGCCAACAATGGCCAGCCGAGCACACACTCCAAACTTAATAATGTAAACCAATTGGCAAATGTAAAAATTGCAAGAAAGATTATCAATATGCAATTATTAAAATTGAATTTTCCATTGTAATTGTTAAATATTTTTATTTATTTTTCTTTCTCTTTCTCCAGCCTTTTACAAATTCAATTTGTTCACTTTACATATCGATTGGTTATGAGACAGAATCTTCAATTTCAACCACAGTGCCTGCCTTTAGAGGCTTAGGCAGCTGCTGCCGCCTTTTCCCTTTTCCACTTCCATTCTCCTTGATTCTTATTACATTCAATTTTTTTTTTTCTATATAAATATATTTCCATGCAATTTTTCACTTTGCGACTTTCACGTTGTTTATGCAAATAAGCGCCAAATGCTATTTGAGTTTAGCGCAACAAAAAAGAATATGAAGCGGAATTATGGTAACGCGATTGTCAACGGCACAGGCGCCATTTCGCAATTCTAAGCTGATGGCACCGTTATGATTATGATAGTTAGAGCGGGCGCCATGTTGTGCCAGCAGCAGCAGCAGCAGCAGCTGCAGGCGGCGGCGAGAGAAAAGAAGTCCCAAATGTTAATAACACATCAAGTGCGAGCGACAGCACAATGCCAGAGTAGCTGTCTCGCTCACACTTGCACGCGCACGTGCTAGCAAACAAGCCACACAACGGTTGTTGCTGCTGCGACTCCTGCTGCGGCTGCTGCTGCTGCTGCTGTTGTTTTTACAAAGTGTAAATTGTTTTAATACTTTTTAGTGCTTTATGACGCCATCTTGGCAGCGATATGCGCCGGCAGCGCTGCTCTGCCCTGGCATCAGCTGCGCCCAAGTGCGCCCAGCACTCTCACTCTCACTCTCACTCACACTCGCGCAGAGCGTACACGTGTAGAGCGCACGTTAAAATCTCAACTTTTACGACCTTTGCAGTGACGTCGACGTCGACGGCGGGGGACGTTCGCCCAGCGAGTTTTTTATTTTCTTTTCTATTTTTTCTGTTTGCGTCTATTCTGTGTGACGTTGACTCCTACCTGTTGCCCTCTCTGCTTGCCCGCTGCACTTAACACAAATGGCAATTGTCAGAGATTCTGCACGTAATACTACCCTCGCTGCCACGCCCCCCGCCCCTTACATCTGGCTGCCAACTACATTTGGCTGACAGTTTGAGCTGCCAGCTGCGTGTCGCAAGTTTTAATCAAAATTGTTTCGTTTTGCGCATTTCACTTCATGAATTGTTCAGTTGTAACTGTCAAATAAAGTTTGGACGCACTCTTCTGTGGTGGGGGCGTGGCATGTTGTTCTGACACTGCAAATGCTGGTAATTAAAATACTTTTGCGTACAGTTTTGTTTATTCTGTTGTTTGCCATTTTGTTGGCAATTAGTTGCACGTTTTTGTATAATTCTAGCCGAACTGTCCCCCTTTTCCACGCCTCTGCGTCAACATTTCAACTTTGTTCTCTAATTTATTTGCTTATTGGCATATTTTGTTCTCATTACAGTTAGTCAAATAATTTCTACAGTGCTGGCCAGCAAAATGGATACGTCACTTGGCAAATATTAGACGTAAGTGCATAGAAACGAATTCACAAGTGAAATTTTTGTTTTTCCTTTTTTTTTCTTTTTTGAGATCTTTACATGAGTTGACGACTTAAAGTTTAGAAAGTCGGAAAATCATTTGCAGCCGCAGCTAATTTCACTCTTATGCATTACGAAGCTGTCAATCAAGAGTGAAATTTGAAGCTGCAACCCTTCCGGCTGTGCCGCACATAATAATGTTGGCTGCTGTAAGGCTACTAATGCGGCAACAACAACAACAGAGCCCTGCAGCATTAGCTCATACCTGAGCTTAAACTCAGCTATGCTGCTCGAAATGGGTCACTCACGCCAGGTGCCTGAAATGTGTCAAATGTGGCCTGCAGCCAATCAGGCAACCAGTAGCGCCTGCCTAGCGCTCACGCCAATAGCCGCTTAATAAGCGCATAGAATGCGGCCACAAATCACAGGCGCTGAAAGCAACAACAAAAAGCGCTCAAAATTGCAGCTCTATAACTCCAGCTCGTCTCACTGCCTCAGCTAAGCCGGCACCTGTTACGCGCTGAGCAGCACTTGCTAGGCGTATAAGAGAGAGTGAGAGAGAGAGAGCGGCTCAGTTCAGATCAGAGAGCTAGTTTGTTGGCATGTGTGTGTGTATGTGTGTGCGAGAGCGCGTGCCTGATCGTGAGGTGAATTTCAGCCGGCTGTGTTGAGTTTGACCTGCATCAACCTGTGCGCTCTCTCTCTCTCTCTCTGTTTGCTTCTGCTGTGTTGAACTTTCTGTTTGTCGAAACAACTTTCGACGCACGCGCAACGGCTTTAGTAGCGATCGCGACTTCAAAGCGCACAGTTTGTATGACGCTCGTAGTGAGAATTGCGCGCAATTTATTTTCGATTTTCATTGATTTCTCGTTCTGTTATTGATTTTACGCACGTAATTAGCACAAACGGATTGGCTGTTAATTGCAGCGGACAGTAATTGCTGTGCAGCCGACAGGCGACATACCAGTGCAACGGTGTCAATTGATTTGATTTGATTTGTGATGCGCTAATTGGCAGCAGCTTCAATTGTGTTCCAAATATGTCCAAGCTGTTGGCCAAGAAGCGCTGGTGGAAAATCTGCTTGCCCCACTCGCAAAATGATGCCAACAAAAACTATCGCGAAGTTATACGACACAGCGAATGCGCTTCGGTTCTGGCCATTACGGATACTAGCAGCAGCAGCAGTAGCGGGAGCGGGAGTGGGAGTGGAAGTGGAAGTGGAAGCGGCATTCAAAGCTGTGATAGTGTATCGAAAATATCCCAACCGGATGCTGGCAAATTGTTTCCGCGCAATATGCCAAGCATACGACGCAGTCGTCGACGTTCCACAGAGCGCAAGGAAAACGTTTCGGCTCCTGCTCAGGCAGCAGCTGCTGCTCCCACTCCGGCTGCTGCTCTAACCGTGCATCGCACACATCAGTCGCGCCAATCGACAGTCACCAAATTGACGCCACGCAAGCTCAAGTCGAATTGCTCAAAGCAGCGCCACTTGGTCAAATCTGCGGTGAAGACCAAAACGAGGGTCAAGCTGGCGCCCTACGACATCTCACTCGAGCTGCCAGCGCCTGGCTGTGTGAACGAAACTGCGCCAAGCTTGGCACGCGCTCTGCACTCGCAGCAATCGAGTTTGATAAGCAGCGATCTGTCTAGCGACTGTTTGCCCGCCAAGCAGGAGGAACATTTCCACTCATCGGGCATCTCCTGCAATGGCGAAACCGATGACGACGTGGAGGTGGCCATGTTAACCGGCTGCCTCAGTCCGCAGCAGCTGCAGCGCGTACAGCATCGAAACAGACCCAATCAACGGTTGCCACTGAATGAGCTGCTCAGTTTAAATGTTTGCCGGAATCGAAACGCTGTTTGGCTGCACAATACGCAAACGGATCAATTGCTGGACTGTGGGCGTGGCAACTGCGAAACAGCAGCCATTGCCGATGATATGCAATTAAGCGATATTGAAGAACAATTGGCCAAGTTTGATGGCCAGCAACAACAACAACAAGAGCAACAACATCAGCAACTGGCTGCCAAAACGTGAGTTCAACCTTATTCGAGAGCACTTAGAAAGCAAAGCGTATTGCCCATAATTCTCTAATCCAAGTCGAATACCTCAAAAGGAGAGCCCCAACAGGTTGTTAAGATAATCTATATCTATAGATGAGAAGCTATCTACCCTAGCTGCCTCCCAATTGGAGCGGCAACAGCGGCAAAACTAATTTGAAATGCGTTTGACGCGTTTTACATTCCGTCCCCAGCCCCTCTGTTTTCGGCTCTGTTATCCGAACCTGTGGGAATAGCAAATGGAATTAATGAGCCACAGAGCCCAGACCCACTGATAGGAGCTTAGCTCATATGGAACATTTTATGGGCTAGTTTAATGGCTGTTTAATAGCTTTATATGGACGGCGCTCTAAAATGCTCATAAAAAGCTTTCACAGTCGAGGCATTCATTCGAGTGCCCCGACGTTTTGTGATCCGCAACGTTTATGAGCGACAAGTAGAACTAAGTCAAAGAATTTGATTGTTTTTTATGGCTATTTGGAAATTTAATTGATGCCTAATTGAGATATTCGCATTTTTTCATTGTTTGTTAACATAATTTTATAGGCTGATGAACAGCTTCTAAAGTTGAGAAATTAAATTTGAATTGTATGTATGTAATAGATATTAGTTAATAGCTATAAAACAGCGTGAGCTTCTGAACTGTTTTTAACTGTATGACTCTGACTCCTAAAAGTAAACTTTAAAAAACTAGCATGAAATTCAATTTTCACATTTTCTCGCTTAGAGTTCTCAACTGGTTCAGGTACGGAACAGTTGACTATCCTTAAGTCAATGCTCACAAATCAGCAATCATTTCTTGAATTGTTCACATTCAATTTTTTTTGTATTTTTTTTTTTTTTTTTTTTGAATTTTTTTCTTGTGAATTTTTTTGGGAACTTTTTTTTTTTTTTTTTTTTAACGAAGTCCTTGCTGTATGCAAGAGGTCTTGAACAATTTAATTGTTCTAAGACTGTCTCGTTCTTAAATACCTCGTGGGGGTGAGGTATTCATTTGAAATACGAAGGTCCTTGCTATATGCAAGAGGTCTTATATGCAATTTCATTGTTGTATAAGACTGGCTCGTTATTATTACTCGATGGACAAAGTCTCTTGCCACCGAAACATACGAAGGTCCTTGCTTTAGAGCAAGAGGTCTTATATACAATTTAAGTTGTTATAAGACTGGCTCGTTATTCTTCCTTGGTGGATTTACGCAATACGTAGACTCTTGCTATATGCATGAGGTTTATCCACTGTGATGGTATGGGGATGGTTCCACACACACTACCCGCTTTATTAGTCTGGGTTCAGTGGTTCAGCTTGAGTGTTATATTTCTACATTAAAATATTCAAAAAATCCCAAAGAATTATTGCTCATTCCATCTTTTTTTTTGGAAGGTAAAATTTTGCTATTCTTATTATGTCTTCTAACAAATACGTAGATTTCCTTTACGCGAAGCGTCTGAATCTCCAGAAATTGTCAGCTGGATGTTTGCTACCCTTCGCCGCTTCCTGTTTCGTATAGTTGCAGTTGTGCGTTCCACGCTGCGAAACCGATGCACTGTTTTATCCTCTTTTCATAAATATACCAGACTTTTTAATTAGATTCGCCTTCGCTTTTCGAATCATGCCGAAGGATGGTTGCATCAATATTTTAGAATCGGTAAGATCAAGAGTAACTGGTAGTTGCATCGTATGATGGGGAACTTTTTCAATTCATGCCTTAAATATGCCAAAAGAAAATATTGGCTGTGGCTAATTGAAGTGCATTTAGGCGCGATCTGGCATCATTAACGAAGAGTGGCCAGAAGTGAAGAAGGGTTATTGGACTGTCTTTTCTTTATGAGGATTGTGGAATTTGGAGTAATGTAACTAAAATTATTTACAATATTATTATTTAAATAACTTTCAAACTGAATTTTGGCTTCCAACAAATTTTGTTGTTGAAATTTTGTGGCCTGTGGATGTGAAGCTTTAAATAACGACTTATTTTCTGCCTTAAATGTTCGGATAGCAATCGAGTCATTCCTGTAATTTATATTTTTCATCGTTAAAGTAATTTGTGTGGTTTTACCAGCTCCAGCGCAATATTTGGACTATTTATATCCTGGTGGTGATGGCGGCGACGAGAGATCATAGCCTTGCTCAGGTGGTTTAGGAGTCGAAGTTGTAGCGTTTGATTTTATTTCTGCGTTCGCTACGCGCAGTGAGTAGCTTCGTCGCGTTTTCTCTTGCTTTTCCATATATCTTTTTTTGGCATGGCATATGTCATGTTGGCTGTTTAGGAGGAGGGGGGCTGGGCGGGGCTCCTCCGATTTCATAAAATTTATTAGTGTAAAGAATAGCGGAGAGGTTGAAGTTAATTTTTTTTCATATTTGGGCGTTACCTGGGTAACTATGTCTTCTATTTATTAACTATCTTAACACAGTGTATTTTTTTAATGCACCTTCTCCTGCTATTATTGGATAAATCTATCTTTTTTTTATGTCCACATACATATATAAAAAAAAACCGTAAAAATGTGCCGAGTCTTACAAAGGTAGAAAAAAAAAGGACGTATACCCGGGCCTTTTTGTCATTCTCTATCAGTTGTTCAGGTGGCGGAGTTTATGAGCCTTATTTTTTTTTCTCATATTTTATTTCTTTTGTGGTTTGCTTGGTTGAAATTCAATTTAAATGAAGAAAATCACTCAACCTGCTAGCAGCAATAATTGGTTAAGTGATGTGTTGAGGCCAAAACAGAAGAAGGGCCCTAACCAGCCAAATTGAAGGGCGTTTGTATTTCCTGTTCTTTGATTATACTTATTAGATGAGTTCTCCATGTATCGCAGATATATAGCTTTGTGGCCATAAGTCACTAAAAGGTCGTGGCTTGTTTAGGCTCATGGCTAGCCGCTCAATGTATCTGTGAGATAAACACGCGGCTTAAATGTTGTTGGTTATTTTTATGGACGCCTGCGTAGAGCAGTTCCATAGGTTATGTGTCCGGGAGTTATTAGTCGATGCTTGAAATCGTTCTAGTCTTTTGGTGTGACGGAATTTTGAAAGCTCTTATACACTATTCCATTGATAGTTGGTGATAAACTAAATTTCAACATTTGTTTATTTCCTATGTTGGCGGTTCTTGTTTTCTTATTTTGTGAAAGTGTCGAAGCGGAACCAAAAAAAAGAGCTCGAGTTGAAAATCGTGATTTTCTTGAAATATTTCTGCCACTTGGCTGAGCGCTGCACTGAGTTGAGCTGTTTGACTTGGCCAAGATTCGCGCAAATTATTAAGAGGCAGCTGCACTCGAGTGTCTTCTCAACGAGGGCTGCCCCTAGCTCCCACTTACCGCAACTGGAGCTGAAGCTGATGTTGGCATTTGTTATTCATGTCCGCATGTTGCTGCTGCTGCTGCTGCATGTGCCTGCGCGCGCCTCACAATTAAGTTAGAAAAACATGTGTACATGCGCATTTGGGGCGTGAGTGGCATGCCCAAAAGAGCCAGGTCAACAGCGTCTTTAGCTTGCATTTTGTACCTGCCCCAGGGTCGCCCACGCGGCAAGCGCTGCCGCTGCGGCTGCGGCAAGTGGCGCGTTAATGAGCCGCGCCAGTGCCTTAACAATTGCATTTTGATAAATTGCTGGCCAACATACGACGAGGGACGAGGTGCCAGACGAAGAGTTGGAGCGCTAAGCCAAGCGGAGTTATGGAACCACATCAACTGGGCGAGGAAGTTGCCACAACTAACGGCGCTTTCATTCGCTAACAAGATCCTGTTCACTAATCCCAATTCAAGAGCTGATCGAGTTGCGCTTCAAGCTTCATTAGCCAAACAGTTGCGCAGTTCCTCAGTACAAGATGATTCTGCTTAGTCGGCCGGACGTGTGCTCATTGATGGACTGCAGAGATGCCCTGTAAAATGTTTACCAAGTTTGTTTTTGACATATTTATGTATCAAACTCAAATGATTTGTATTATTGATAAATAATTCACAATATGGTGGACAATTTGTATATCTTATGTATATTTCCGATATAGTACTGATGAAACCGGTTAGTTTGTAATAGTTCTGCCTATTTGGGCTGTAACAATTGACAAGTATTTCAAATATTTTCAATTCAATAAAATTGTGGCTATAATCTTCTACTTATTTGATGTCTAATCTCTTATTTGGAATGGGACATTGATGTATTTATTTCTGAAGTATCCATATGGATATTTTATTTGTATTTCGTATATTTGGCTCTACTTGGACCGTGTTGTTCTGGTCGGTTGGGATGGATTGAACTCTTTGGAATATCTAAATTATAAGACGTATTTCTTAAAAATGTTTTCATTCTTTATTGTAACAAGGAATTTGAGTGTTTTTTTTTTTTTTTTTTTGGAGTTCTCAGGATTTTGTGTTGCTTCTCTTATTTTTGTCTTTTTATTGCTCACCCTCAGATTAGCTGTAAGATAATGTGGGTATGGAGTCGTCATTGTCCTGTTCATCTTCTGCAAACGTGGCTCGCCGCCAGCTCTAGTCCAACTTACAGGGTATTTGTAGTAAAAGGAAAGTTCTGATCTGGTTGTTCTGGTTGGCTTTCTGGTTGCCTGACCAAGTGTGCGTTTGGCTAATGCACTTGGCATCTAATGCTTGGATGATGACTTAATTGCGCATTTTAGCATAGGCAAAGACCCAGATGCGCAGACAGAGAGTTTGAGATGCAGATGCAGATGCAGATACGGATACAAAATGCAGATAGAATTCGAGCAGTTACATTGGCAGCTACATAAGCGCCGGTCTGGTCAACGAGACGAGTCTGTGTTGTGACAGGCGGCGATTAGACCAAGTCCCTCTGCCTATCACTCGGGTACTCCAGCTCTCTCTCTCTCGGTTTATTTAAATGTGGCTCGATGTTTACTTGCTTGCTCGCCGTGCAGCTTGTTGCAGTTAACAGGGAAGTTGCCACAGGCGGCATATCAAAGTGTGCACTTGTAAGTGTGTGTGTGTGCCACATGCAAAAGTTAATCCTGTCATGCCTCACCGCACTCGCACACGCACATTTCCAATTCCCATTTTCCATTTTCCAATTGCGGTGTGTGGGAAAAATATCGCCAATTGGCTGGGATGACGATGCGTCATGATGCACATGCTAAAATTAATTATATGCCACACTTCCGGTACGCTTGACCTTAGCCAAAGTGCAGTGGTTGTTATTGTTGTTGTTTCACTCTGTTGCATGCCCCAGTTCGGTCATCGTTGACTGCCCCCGCTGCCACTTCACGGTCAGCTGAGCTGCTTTGCAACGCGGCAAGTGCAGCAACCGCAACAGGGTTGAATTCGAGTCTTCTAAATATATTTCTGTTCTGTTTGCTGACGAGTTGCGCCTCTTCTTATTTTGGTAATTGTCGCTGCAACTAGTTTC